AGCACAGCAAAGGTACCTGGAGGCAGGTGTTGGGACTTGCACAGCCTGCAGGTGCCTGCCCTCTGGGTGGGGGAGCTAAACAGATAGCGGCAACCAAAAAACTGACAAAAAGTCACTTTTTAAAGGGCTCAAGGAGAAGGTCTGCCAAATAACTCAGCGGATTAAAGTGCCTGCAAGCAGGCACAGGGGATGGGGGTTCGATCCCCTGGCCTGCTCTGCTGCCCTGCCCCTCCCCCCCAGCACTGAGACAGCGATTGAGACTGGGCATGGTGTCACACACCTGTAATCCCAGCTCTTGGGAGGCTGTAAACAGGCAGATCACTAAGAGTCCGATCTAGTAGTGAGACCCTGAACACCCTGTAGACCCTTCCTAAAATATAAAAAATAAAATAAAAGGTCAAGGAATGCGGGGTGTGGTGATGCATGCCTGTAATCCCAGCACTTGGGAGGCTGAGGCAGGAGGATCACTGCAAGTTCAAGATCAGCCTGGGCTACAAAGTGAGCCCATGCACAGCCTGAGCTGCATAATTAGAACCTGTCTGAAAAAGACAAAAATAAAAATAAGAGGTCAAGAAGAAGCCCTATGAGGCAGGAAAACTACAGGTTTAAGTTCAGCCTAGGGAACTTCACAAGACTTTGTCTCAAAATACAAACAAGAGAGGTAACTCAGTGCAAAAACTATGGGATAATCCCCAACTGAGGATTAGGAGTGGGAGTGAAGGAAATAACTGTTTGCCTAGCAAGAACCGAAACATTTTAGCAGGCTTCCCTGAGGAGGTGTCATTGGATGTAGGCCTTGCAGGAGACATGGGGTTTTGCCCAGTGAGGGCATGAGGGGATGGGCACTGCTTGTGGTATGAAGTGTGTGAGGTGGGGTTCCCTCATATGCTTTTTTTTTTTTTTTTAGTACAGGGTCTATAGGGTCTCACTATGTACATCAGATTCATAGCAATCCACCTGTGTTCAGATTCCCAAGAGCTGGGATTACAGGTGTGAGCCACCACACCCAGTCTCAATTGCCATCTCAGTGTGCCCTGGTTGTGGGGCTGGCAATAGCATGCTGGGCATCAGGGATTGAACATCAAACCCGGCCGCTGCATCTGCCTAAGCAGGCACTTTAATCTGCTGAGTTATTTGGTTGGCTGGCCCTGTTTTTTTTTTTGTTGTTGTTTGGTTTTTTTTGTGTACATGTGTGTGCAGCGTCTTACTACACAGCTTGGACTCACAGTGATCATTCTGATTTCTGCCTCTCTACTGCTGGGATTTTCGGACTTCATCACTGGCTCACTGTGCTGGGGGATGGGGCCAGCATGAGGTGCCAGGGATCAAAGCCGGCCCCTACACTTACCTAAGCAAGCTCTTAGTCCGCTGAGATATACCGCCAGCACCCCCTCCTTTTTTTGAGACAGGGTCTTTCTGTGGTGAAGGCTGGCCTTGAACTCACTAGGTCATCCTGGCAGACCTTGAACTCACAGCATCCATCTCTCTGCCTCCAAAACGCTGGGATTACAGGTATGCACCACCACACCTGGCTACACTCACTTTCTTTATTCCTAGATTCTAAAATACCAACTATGTGTCATCAAATACAAGGCCAAGAGCTAGATTTTTCACACATAAGTGCAGGCGAGGCAGTGTTGGTGCATGTACCAGTCTTACAGGCACACACCGGCTAATTTCACAGCTCATCTGTGCCTGACACAAGCAGTTCAGCCCTGCTGGGAGATTCCAGGGTGACAAGCTGAGCCACTGAGGCAGAGTGCAAATAGCTCTGGGATAGGAAAGCAGAAAATCTGCATCTAGAAGGAGGCCAGACAATGGTGGGAACGATGGTTACAGGACAGGATGTAAGCAGTGTAAGTCAGGACAATGTAAAAATGCCAACTCACAAAATTGGGCAGGGAAGGAACTAGGAAATGGCAGTGAGCTCATTTCCTCCTCCCAACCAGGGGTGTCCAGAGATGCCACCTGTAGCCAAGGTGAAAGCACAGATCCAGCCACTTACTAGCTTGCTTGATTTCAGAGAAATAATTCAGACACATAAGCAACAGTGTAATGATTTGTGGCTTGGCAAGCTCTATAGTGACGTATGTACTGGTTTCCTTTCATTCTCTTGTTTAAATCCTTTTTCTAAAGAGCAGGTATTATATGAGCTCATTTCTTGAACATTTCCACACAGCTGCCTGAGCTGTGTTCTGTGTATATATAGAAATGCTCTGTCCTGGTACCCTCAGGACTTTTTTGTGGGGTCCTGGGTTTCTGGATCACTTGAAAGATTTATTTTTGGAACCTTTGTTATTTTGAGGTAGGATCTTGCTTTGTAGACCAGGATGGTGTTGAACTCACTATGCTGCCCAGGTTGGCCTTGAACTTGTAGTGATCTTCCTGATTAAGCCTTCCCAATGCTGAGGTTATAGGTGTGCACCACCAGGCCCACGTGTTTTTGGCTTGGAACTGTTTAGTGTCATGTTTTTCACAATAAGCATGTACTATTTTTATAAAGGGAAAGCCCTTTGATTTGTTTTGCTATTTTTTTTTTCTTGAGACAGGGTCTTACAATGTAGTCTAGATTGGTCTCAAACTCACAGTGATCTGCCTGTCTCAGTCTCCTAAGTACCAGGAATACTAGCATGTACTACTACGCCTGGCAGTAAAATCCTTTTTAAAAAATTAAAGCACTTTTTAAAAACTATTATTTTTGGTACTGGGAATTAAACTTAGGGCTTCGTGCTTGCCAGGCAGGCACTGCACCACTGAGCTACATCCCTGGCCCAGAACACATTTCTTGAGAAGAAGAAAAAACTGCTTCTTCGGCAGGTTCCCACTTCACTTGTGTGGACTGCCCAGGGTGGCAGCCAGGCACCTGGACTTGCTCCTGGGACCAGCCTCAGGTCCCAGGGTGAGAGGCACAGCTGTCACAGGTGGCCTGCGGCAGAGGCAGCTGTGGTCCCCCAGGTGGTTCAATATGCACTTTTGGCCCTTGGGAATTGGGGCAGTGGCAAGTGGGGAGGCCACTGGTGAGAGGAACTGGGACTTGGGGTGCAAGGTTTTGAGCCTCTGGCTCTAACTGGGTGACCTGGGCTTCTCCAGGCCTGAGAAACCATCCTTATTGGGCCTTGCTGTCAGGTTCTGTGACAGACATGTGGCACACAGTGTTTGGAGAGCTATAGGGGGCACAGGATTTACTTCTTACCAACACCACTGCCAGCTTGGGCCTTGGTTATGTAGGAGTGGCAGGCTGGCTGTCACTGGGCCCGAGAGCCATGTTTTCTGGCTCAGCTCCATCCTTTGCTCATGTTGGGACACATCCCCAGAGAACCCTGATTTCCACACTTGTATAGCAGATCACACTAAGTGAGCAACAGAACTGAGTTACATCAGAAGCATGACCAAAATCCAGAATTTCCAAGTGATTGACACTGTCTTAGAAAAAAGTGACAGGTCCATGCAGCAGATAATAAATACTTACAGTCACTGACAATGATTGAGCACTTAGTATGTGCTGGGCACAATTTTGAGTGCTTGAATTGTGCACACTGATCTCACCCTCTCAGCACCACAACATGGAGCTGCTGTTCCATTCTAGAGAGGAGGATACTGAGGCAGAGAGACTGAAACTAGTCTTCCTGTTGATTCCTTATGCAGGGCCAGAGAGGAGGAAGCCGGGTTAAGAGGTCACTGAGGGAAAACATGGCCCAGCTGAAATGGGCCAGGCCCTGAGATGTAGAAGCCAAGAGACTGGGCATGGCCTCTGGGATGCTCACAGTCCCTTGGAGGAGTGGAGATGAGCCCAAGCTGATGACAGGAGGGAGAGATAGAGGAGTGGCTGTCAGGCTGGGGTCTGTGCAGGAGAGGAGAGGGCGTCCCGTGAGATGTATACACCGAGTGGTGAAGCAAGAAAGAAAAAGGCTTTGTGAGAAAGGGGGTGGACCAAGGGCTCCAGTGTGCAGAAAGTTCAGAATGGAGCTGGGCAGAGAGGGATACAGATGGGTGGGCTGGAAGGGAGTAGGCTGGATCTTACAGCAGGAGTTCTGCTGGGAAGGAAGAAGCAGCAGTTGAGGGGAGGTGGCCTGGTGCTTGGTTTTGGGAGGGAAGACTGAGGTGCATAAAGTTCCAGAGGAAGATCAGATCACAGGACACCAGAAATCGGGGGGGGGGGGAGGGCGGGGTTCAATCCCCAGGACTGAAAAAAAAAAAGTGGGGGAAACAGAATTGGGCAAGTTTATAGGTGAGAAGCCAGGTGTAAGGATATAAACTTGTAATCTCAGCACTCACGAGGCTGAGGCAGGAGAATCACTGTGAATTCAAGGCCAACCCTGGCTACACAGTGAGTTCAAAGTCAGCCTGAATTACTGAATTATATAGTGACATCCTGTCTCAAAAAAAAGAAAAGAAGTTACATGGGAGAAGGGACAGGTGGGAGCAGTGGGGCATGAGAGCTGTCGGAGAGTTTGCAAATATGAGACCGGACAGGAGACCTCAGCAGTTTAAAAAGGACTGAGAGGGGAGGAGTGGGGAGGGTAGGTGGTAACTAGGTAAGTGGGCAGGGAGGGTCACAGGACTTTTCCTGGGTGTGGTGAAGACGAGGTACAGTGGCACATAGCAACAAGAGGGCACTAAAGGCGTCATGGAGGCCCAGGCTGGGACAGAGCAAAGGGAGGGTGGGAGAGGACTAGCAGGCTGAGAAGGGGCAAGGGACAGAATTCACAGAGGGGTCAAAGAACAGGGGGTGTAGACCAGAGTCCCGGAAGTCAGGGTCAGAGGTGGGCTTTCCCAGGCTGTTCTCACGACCCAGATTCATGGTGGTGCCAGTGGGTACCATGTCCTTCCTGAGAAGGGCATAGCGGGGTCTGGCCAGAGAGGCAGCAGAGCTAGGGGCCTCCAGAATGTCTTCTGTTCTTGGCACTTGCTGCAAAGGATCTTGCACTCTGTGCACGTGGTAACAATCCAATCCCCACATACTCCCTGCACCAGGTGAAGAATAATGATCACTGTCACACGCTTTAATGTGCCACTTTTAATTATGAAAGATGTAAAATGATGCATTATAAAACTTGGAAGCTATTTATACAAAACCCAATTTTTAAATATTGTTTAACAAGGGCCCTGGGAGTTAGCACGCAGGCGGGAAGTCTGACTAGTTGCTGCCATGGTCCCAACCACAAAGCAATGGAGCCGCACTGGCTCAGAACCACATGCACATGGATCAGAAGCTCCTGGAGAGTCAGGGAGAGCGTCTTTCACAGCGCACATGGACTTGGACACACAACATCTCAGCTCACGCAACACACACCAGACTTAGAAATGAAACAGGGTGAAGGAGAAGTGTGGTGGCCCTGATGCGATCAGGACAAGTTTCTCCTAATGCCCTATGTCTTCAAAACAATACAGAACAAAGAAATGGAAACACAGAGAGGCTTTTAGTCCTATGTTGTTTAACTGCTAGTAAATGAGGGTAGCAGGACTGATTTCTTGTGGTAAAATGAAATATTAAAAATAACCTTGTCTGAAGTCTGGAGCCACTTCCCATGATGAGGACCACGGTTGGTTAGCTCCAAAGGCAGCAGACAGCACAGACTTAAGCCCAAGACAGGGTGACACCAGACCTGGTATGTCCACAGCCCCATCCCGAAAAGTGGACTGTACATTGCCTAAAACCTTCATAAGAAAAAATCAGTGGGAGGGCCCTGGGGAAAATTTAATTCAGTGCTAAACTACACTGTCCTCAATACCACCTTCTCAGGGCACCCCCCCCCCAACAGTCCCTGCAGAGCCCATGGCAGTGCAACTCCTCCTGTGGGCCTTGGGGTGGGGTGGGGGACAGCAGGGCTGCTGTGCAAAGCTGACTGGGCACCATGACACAGTGGTGCCCCAGGGTAAGGCACTATATAGAGAGCAGATTACGTTGGCACTTCCTCTCTGCAAAAACCGTAACTCTCATAACTGATGGCATCCCCCTTCAGGGACATCCCCTTCTAGGGGCCTCTGACACAGGAGCTGGATTCTGTTGGCACACTGGGGTGCTGGGTAGCATGCCCATGAAGAGCACTGCACTGTAACAGAGTTGCCCTGCTCCAAGATCTCAAGCATGGAGGCATCTAGGAGTTTAACTGGGAATAAGACTTGCAGAGGAGGCCAACAGCTCATTCCTGAGCAGAAATCTGATGAGGGGGGACTCTAGGATGACCTCTACCTCAACAGCAGAGGCTCAGGCAAACAGGAACAGTCAAGTTCTGAGGAGGGTGGAGTGATGCACCATGGACTTGGAAAGGTCAGAGGTCAGGCCTCTGAGGACAGAAGAGAAATGGGCAAGTGCTGGTGAGCTCACCAGCTGGGATGGAAACAATGCCCTTGCCATGGGCAGAGTATGCTGGCTCCTTGTTCATCCGTGTGCACAAAGGCTCCGGCATGTACCCGCTTCAGGGCTCCCTACCCCACCTGGTGGCTCTCTGCATGGCTTCTGGACACTACAGGTTCCATTCCCAGGCTCAGTTGTGGAAGCAGGCACTGCTGGAAATCTCATATTACTGTTTAAGGCATTAATGTGTTCATGATAGTTCTGTGGTCTGGGCCTTTGTTTACTATGAACCTACTGCTCCAACTTCATAGCACAAATCTCTATCTGAAGCAATTTAGAGAAGAGCATAGATATCAGACAGCAGCTCTCATGAAGTGAAAGCCTCATGAGGATCTGCAGGTGCGAGCCCTGGGGAGGGCTGGGTTCGCTCAGACATACTAGATCCACTTGAGTGGCAATTCCCACCTTCTGCTGTGGAGCAGAACCCCAAGGAGAAGGATCTGACCATCTAGTGTTAGAAGCATAGTAAAGTGCACAGTGACTCCAGCACAGGCACCAGCATGGGGAGAGTTAAGCTCAAAAGCCCCTGGTAGGGAATGGAGCAGTTCCAGGCAAGATACCTTGCCACCGGGCAGACCTAAGTGTGCACCCAGCACACAGTTGTGCAGCATGGTTTCCATGCTAAATGCTTTTAAGGCACTAGGAATAAGGGACAGTCTCTGCTCTCTGGGAGCTTGTTGTCAGGCAGGTTTACAGGAAACTCCCACTCCACAAAGCAGAGCTCAAAGCTGGGGGCACCCCAGCTGGCTCACAGGGAGGGAAACTTGTGCTTGTCTGGAGTTGTCCCTGTGTCTGTGGGCTACCTATGGCGCCCCTTCTTCCTCAGCCTCCAGAAGGAGCTCAGTTCTTCTCAGGCTCATCCATTCCCTGGGCACTTTTTAGTAGCTAAATAAAATAGTCTTCCTTTTCTTCTTGTCTTTAAGGAAAAGGTGTAAAGCAGCAGAAAAGAGACTAGAGACTTGGAGAAAACAAACTAGCATTCTGTTTGCCAGACTCAAGCCTGTCCTTGGGCTGGTGGCTAAATTTCTTCATACGATAAGTACGGTGCCTGACAAAGCTGTGGCTTGTTGGTGTGGCTCTGAGAGAAGCTGTGGGATGGTACCAGCTGGAGGGCACCACATGGCTGGGTCAGAGAAGGCAGTGTGGTGCTCCAGTACCATCGCATGACACTGAGCCAGCTCTGAAGTGAGGGCCCTGATGACCTCCCACACCAGGCTGTCTTCCAAGTAGATTGAGATCAGTGGCTCTGAGCTACCGAGGCCTTCTGTTATGTGAGCTTTTCTACTTGTACACACAGACTAAATGGCCAGTAGAAAGATAGATGAAAGCATCAGACAATGAGCTTTCCAGTTCCCCAGAAGCTCCAGAGCAACACAATGTGTGTGCGGGCCCAAGAGACAGGATGTCTAGAGAAGTTGTGATGTCTGAGGGAGGACCACATGAAAGCTCAGAGCCGAGGAACAGGCTCCCTCTGTGTGGAGATAACTAAAGTCCTAGTAGGTTACTGGCTCCAATCTATTCCACTCTAGTTTGGCTAGTTCAGAAATCTTCCTGCTGTGGTCTCCTGCTCACAGTCGGTCAGCTCGAAACGTCTCTTCCACTGAGGGGTCAAGCAGGCCCATGCTGGAGTCACTTAACATATTGAGTCCATCTAGGCTCAGGGGTTCAATTTGGAGTTCTTCTTCCAGTGGAAATGCAGTGTCCATGTTCAGGCTGACCTCAGGCATGCCTGCCAGTGCACTGCTGAGGTCTTTGAAAAGGCTGGTGCTTGAATCTTCTGAAAGGAGCAGCGAGAGGGAAGAACACTGCTGATTAGGAGGCATGAGATCTTGAGGCTACTCTGAGAGTCCCTGAAGGCAATTCCCAGAACACTATGCTATGCTCTTCCTAGTTAGGATAGTGGCACTGTATCTCCACTGTTCCCAGGTCTGCAGCTCTTGCCCTGGAGTACACAAGCTGGACCCTCAGTTCCACCAGTGCCAATATTTGTAGGTTTTCTCCTTTGCAATGGCTGTCAATCACCTCAGATTAAACATTTCAGAAACATTCTGATCTCCAGGCCCTTTCCCAACTACCCATGGTCCCTGGGGCCAATCATTTACATCATGGGAAATAAAGCGAGACAGAGGACTTTCCCTGTTGGCTGTATATAGTATGATGTGGTTCAAACTGTGTTTATAAAGATGATCATAACAACAAAATGAAATTGGTGGAGAAGCTAAGGGCAGTCCACACTCACCTGTCATGATGGCATTCGGGAAGTTCCCACAGTTTGAATACAGGTTTGGTCTCAAGTGAAATGAGTCCTGTGCTTCTCGGTGACCTTGCTGTGCCAGGGGCACCTGAAAGCATTGAAGGTCACATTGTGAGGAACAGTTTTTATATCTGAGGAGAGGGAATTCCCTTCTTTCCAGGGTCTCAGTGTGTTCCGCTGTCCTGACAATGCAGGCAAGACAGTCCTGTCAGGCATAGACCCTGCCTCCAAAGTCTACACCATGAGTAGCTTTTCCCCATCCATACTGTCAAGCTCACTAAAAGATTCCAGAAGACTCTAGTGTCACAGTTTCTGCAGCCCTGAGTCTCCAGTGCCCCTTTTCTTCAGCCTCACTGAGGCTGGTGCCAACTACCATCCATGGGAACTGTTCAAAGGCTCCATCTGTGGCCAAGGCCTCCCTTTCTCTCTGGTCTGGAAACATGAAGATGCAGAAGCCTTTCACTGTCACACCAAACGGACCTCAAGCCAGTGCCTCTCTAGTATAAACCCTTGTTGAGGATGAGATAGGCTAAGGTCTGTTGTAGATATCTTTCCTGAAATTAACTGTTCAAAGCATTTTTTAAAAAATGTCTCAAAAGGACTTTTCTCTGTTTTCTAGGATATGCTGACTCTCACCTAGCCTGAAACAGGCTCTTCGAAAACAGAGGTGCAACTGGGGAGATAGCTCAGTCAGTGGCTTCAAGGTCCTGAGTTTGATCCACAGTACCAAAAAAGAAAAAAAAGTATCATTCACTTAGAAAACAGGGAGGAAGAGCTGCGGTGTTGCTCACTGGCACAGTGTTTGCTCTGCATGTACAGGACCCAAGTTCCATCCCCAGTGCCACACACAGAAAACAAAAACAAAATGGGGAGTGGGGAAAGACTACTGGTTGTCATCACAAACCTTTACCACTTTCTATTTAGGAAATACTGTGGTGCTTCAGTTCACAAATACTTTTGTTTGTGAACAATGTGTTTCACAAGTAGAAGTTGTTTTTTTTCAGAACCAGGGACTGAACTCAGGCCCTTGCGCTTGCCAGGGAAGCACTTATTCCACTGAGCCATCTCCCCAGCCAAGTAGAAGTATTTTGTAAAATTTTGTTTTTTGTTTGCAAACTGCGCTGGGTGATGAACATGACTGTGGCCATCTTTCCCAAACAAACACAAATGTGGCCATCTTTTCTAGAAGTGAATGAACTGAGGTACCACTGTAATTACCTTTATTTGTTTTTCTATTATTTGTACTACTATTAAGTTCTATTTTACTGTTATTAAGTTCCAACTCTTCCTTCACTCTTCACTCCATCCTGGAGGTTGAGCCATACTTACTGAATATCTAGGGATAGTAAAAATGGTCAGTGTCAGGGAGAAGCAAAAGAAAGTGATTAAGTGAAAATATTTTCCTGAAGAACCATCCCCTATCCCACTCCTGGACTAAGCTTTGTAGGAGCCTCATACCAAGTTGGGTGTACCCATCCCCACTCTAACTCTACTACCAGAGCCAGGTTGTGTCCCACCATGCTTTAGTATCCTCAGCATGAAGGGTCACTATGGTCCTTTCAGTACCAGAGATTCTATAATCCTTTGACTACGGACGGTGTCATCAAAGTCTCCTAGTGCTGGTTCAAGCAGCAACTCTTTACAATCTGATACATGACATGGCAGCCAGGCCAGCAGCCTAAGAAGAGAGGCAGTCCAGGGCACCAAAGAAGAGCAGGCAGGGGTGATCACCCACCTGTGGGGGAAAGGCTGGGCCAGACCTCACAGACTGCTGGTCAAAGCCCACATCTGGGAAGAAGCTGTTCAAAGACGTCCCCTGCAGAGAAAAAGGAGGCAACCTTTTAGCTTGGTATCCAGAGCAGAACACTTGCCTCCTCCTGACTGCCACCCCCTCCTGACTGCCATCCTGTAGGGACTCACCTGGGATGGGAGAAACTGGAAGTCTGACAGGGGCAGGGATGAGGAGGCCTGGGTCTGTGGAGCATGGGGCTCCTGGGAGCGGGGCTGTGGCAGGAGGGGCTGCGGGAGCTCCTGGGATGTGGAGTAGTGGGACGGCGGGGACACCTGGGCCTGCGCTTCAGATGGCAGGAAGGACAGTGGGCTCTGCTCTGAGGACACCATCTATAAAAGAAAGTTAGCAATGAGCTTTGAGTCCTAGCTGTAAGCCCCTGGATCAGGATATGTCATGGTGTGATGTGACAAAAACCTGTATCTGCTCCTCATTGGGCCTTGGATCTCATTTCCCCACAAAGCATTTCCCACTCAGTGACATTTCTATTAACTTTAAAACCAAACAAGGTCCTGAGTTCGATTCCTGGTACCAAAACCACCAAACAATAATACAGTCAATTGAACCAACTTTCTCTGCTTTCTCAGTGAAGATTATGGTTTTTTTTTAAAGCCACAACTTCTAGTTAGATAGAAGGCTGACAAAGGCTCTTAGCTATGCTGCCTCTGCAGATCTTACTGAAACAATACACTAAAGCAACATTAAACCACAATAAACATTAATAAATAGCACCAAAATAATAAGCAACACTAAATGACAGACAACATGAGGACAAAGAGTGTGAGAGGAAAGAAAATAGCAACAAGACTTGGAAAACAGCAGAACTGCGAGACTCATACCAAGGCTAAGTGGGCAATCTGAGTGCCTGAGTGCCACTGCTGTGTGGGCAATCTGTGCCACTGCTGTGTCCCTAAAAGGGCTCTGAGCTGGAGAGAGCAGGCAGGGGTGACATGAAAGAGGGTCCAGACAAAGCTCCTGTGTGGGCAGCTGGCCCTGCAGAGCTCTCGCCTCGCCTGTGCTGCTGGTTCCCACTCTGTCCTCCCAGCCACCTGCCAGCAGTCCACAGGGCTGGCCACTGGAGAGCACAGGTCAGGGTCTATGGAAACCACAGGGCGAGGCTTTCTACTGAAAATACAGTGTTTACAAGAAGTCTCACTACCAGATCCTGACTGCACTGCTTTGGTTTCCAGCTTGGCTCTCACAATGCTGGAATCTACACATATGCTTAAACACCTGTGCTCTTCAGGGCTCTGAGCCAAATCTGAACTCCTAACACTTAGTCCATCAGAAGTTCCCCACCAAGCTGGGTGTGGTGGCCACACCTGTGATCCCAGAACTCTGGGAGGCTGAGGTAGGAGGATTTCAAGTTTGAGCTCAGCTTGAGCAAATCAGTGACTTGGCAAGATTCTGTTGCAAAATAAAAGCTAAAAAAGGGCTAGAGATGTAGTTCAGCATGAAGGCCCTGGGTTCAGTTCCTGGTACCAAAAAGAAAGAAAAAAAAAATGATTAACAAAAAAAGTAAGCTATTTTACTAACTCCTAGGAGAAAGTAAATGTTTACTTTTTTATTTTATAATATGCTATATGGTTCAACTCTGACTACATTATTATAACTACAGATTATGTGCTAACACAAATTATAATAAATGAGGGGGGTGAATAGGAAGTGTGTGTGTGTGTGTGTGTGTGTGTGTGTGTGTTGGGGGTGGCAGGAGAGGTGAAAGGAAACTAAGATTCTGATTTTTTTTTTTTTGCCATAATTTTATTGAGAAGATTCTGATCTTAATGGTAGGATGTCTTTAGATGATGTCTAATACCAAAAGTCTAGAGCAAAATAAGTATGGGCTAATATGGTTATTGCAGAGTCAGACGGAAGTGTGGAAAGTAACCACTGCTAGGCAGTGCAAAATGTGGTTCACAAGAGAGAGGAAGACAGTCTTACACAAGTGCTTTAGGTCAGTTTTCCTTTTTAACTATATGCATTATGACACTGATTATCTTAAAAATCTGAATATTAAACAAAAAAAGAAAACAACTCAAAGAGAGCAGGGTCTACCCATAGTTTCCTTAAAATATAGCCAGAAAACAAAAGAACTTCTATATTCTATAAAAAAAGTCCTACAAAATAAACTAAGGGCAATTCAATAACATAAAAAGAGCCATCAAAAACCAATTACAAAATGCCCTTCCCTGGAGAGATGATTCATACAGTCACGATCCCCCAGCTAAAATGGTGAAAAGCAACTAAATCCCTCCTTCTTCTAAACCATTACTCCTTTACAGTGCAGTGGTGAGTAAGTCCTGGTGTTCTAATACATCTAGGGTGTGGCCAACAGGGTAAAAATACACTCATTGGTGATATGGTAAGGAGAACTTCCCTAGAAGTGTAAAATAAAAACAAAATCCGTAAGTAAAAAATGAGACATTCCTACTTTTTTTTTTTTTTTTTTTTGAGACAGGGTCTTACTATGTAGCCCAGGCTGGCCTTGAGCTTGTGGCAGTCTTCCTGCCTCAGCCTCCCAAATGCGGGGATTATAGGTGTGTACCAACCACCACACCCAGGTAAAAATTTTTATTTCTGTCTCTGTCTCTCCCTCTCTCCCTCATCTTTTCCTCCCTCCCTCCCTTTTTTTTTTTTTTTTTGTGGTACTGGGATTCAAACCCAGGGCCTTGTACATACAGCAAGAGCTCTATCACTGAGCCACAGACAATTCAGTTTCCATATTTCTTTTTCTTTTTTGAGAGTATGTGGTAGTGGGAATTGAACTTAGGGCCTTTGCATTCAGCTACTTCTACAGACCTTTGTAGTCTTTTAAAGAAGGGTCTTCCTCAATTGTTCAGGCTAGGCTTGAACTCACAATCCTGCCTCAGCACCCAGAGTGCCAGGATTATAGCAATGTACCACCAATCTCCAGCTTCAACTCCTATTATGCTTTTTGTCTGTTTGCTTTTTTAGACAGGATCCTGCTAGATGGTTCAGGCTGGCCTTAGACTCACAATGCAGCACAGGCTGGCCATGAACTTGCTGTGATTCTCTTGTCTCAGCCTCCCCAGTGCTGGGATTACAGGTGTATGCCACCATATTGAACTTCCATTACTTCTATAATGAGTTTGTGACTTCAAACTGTGTCCCTCTCCTAAAAAACTTCAATTAGTCCTTTTATTGAGCTATCATCCTCATTATTCCTAGTATTTCATGAACAATATAAGTATTATTCTTTAAGTCTGTAGGGATTATTAGGGAAGAGGTGTAATCCATTATAGTATCAAAGATACTAAGTGTTTTCTTTGGCTAGCCCCTGTGGCTTAATATAGTCAGTCAATAATTGATTTTCCATACCAATTTAGAAACCCTAACCCGGTTTCCCTTAGCCATCTTAGACATATCTGGATTGAATCTCTTATATCCTATACTAAGTTCATGAGCTAGTGACTGCAAATTGATCAGTATTTGCTTAAGAGTAATCCACACCACAGTTCTGCTATTAGACAATCATTAATGCATTTTGAATTATTCACACTTCTGTTCTCTCTTAGTGTAATAATGGACCTAGTCCAAAGCAGCCCACAGAAGGGAAGCAATCCTGGAAGCTGGTATGTGTACCAGTGTTTACCTGGGAGGCAGGGTATGGGTTCAGCGGGCTGGTGGAAGAGAACTGTCTGCCGAAGCCCTGCTGTGCTTCTGGGCCAGGAGAGAGCGTGAGGGGACTCACAGGAGGCTGCCGGCGCCGTGAGGGGCCGCTCAGGTTTGTGGTGGGGAGAGATGGGTTGCTAAGGGAAAACAGACGCAGGGAAGGGTGCAAAGCAGATACACTGGCAACAGATGTCTGTGGGTGGCTATTTAGGGAAGAGGAAAGTGCTATCTTATTGAGGGTAGCTTGGATGGAAGGGTTACTCCGAGAACTCTGCAGACCTGAAAGACAACACATTCACAAATTACTTGTTACAGTTTCAGACCAATCTTTTTCTTTCTAAAGATGAAAAAAAACATTCTACTACCCCTATGTGATGGTGATGCTATATGTAAAGGTGCCCCTGGGGGCTCCTGCTACTGGAGCCCCTGGGGGACCCTGCTACTGGAAATGTCCCAGGTGCACCAGTGGCAAAAAGATACATTCATAGTAAGAGATGGTTCTGAGCAAAATGAGAACTACTGTTTCTAAAGAGGAATGGGGATGTGGAAATAACCCCTGGTGGGGTGACACTGGGTAAGCCGTGAGTAGCAGGCCCTAGTGTTCGGCATGCCCAGTTTAGATCACTGAAAGATAGCCAGGACCAGACCACCAATTCTGTTCAGAGCCCAACACGTCTCTGTCGAAGACACACTGCCTGAATTCTCTGCTGCTAGGGAGGACATCATTTCATTGAGAACTGTGGGTTCAGGAAGACTTCACTGTCCTCAGTGTGCTGGGGAGCCATAGGAAGGGCTGCTTCTTCCTTTCTCCCACCCAAGCTTCCTCTTGTTTTGGTTTCTGGGCTCTTAGGAAACTGCTCATCACAGTCTATTCCAATTCAGGGACAAGAAGGTTGATGATGATTTCTTATTTCTTGAGGGGTCAGGAAGGAGTTAATCCTAGCTGAGCAGTAAAGTTTGGAAAAGGTATTTCAATAGCATAAGCAGCTTGAACATGCATTCCATAGAACAGAGGCCCTGTTCTGTTCCCTGCTATGTACCTTAGCGCTTGGCACAAAGGAAAAATGCAGCTGCTGCACTGCATATATCTCATTTGGCAACAGCCATTTTTTAACATTCATTCCATCAGTCTTGCAGCAGCTGGGGTGAGTTGAAGTGTCTGTAGTTTTGTGTTGATTAAAAAAAAATGAAGTACTTAGGGCTGGGGAGATGGCTTACTAGAATAAGCGCTTGCCTGGCAAGCACAAGGGCCTGAGTTCAACCCCTGGTTCCACCAAAAA